TTGCTGACTTGGTTTCCAGGAAAGGGCTGAGTTATGAAACATGGTGACACTTCTTGGTCATGCTGACTTGTATCTGTAGGACCTCGCTCCTCAGGACCTCTCTTTTTGTGGTTCAGCTGTAGTCTGCCAGAGTAATTGTGACTTTCTTAGCAAGAGTTGTACCCACTGCAAAGCTTGTCAATGTTTGTGCTCACTTTCAGAGCCCATTTGGTGAATTGGTGCAATAAGAACAACGCTGCCCAAAATGCTTATGGTGAACAAACCCATACCCAGTGGTTTTTTGGCTAACAGCTGTATTCTGAATACTTGCAGGATCTTTTCAATAACTGCTGCATCCTCTCCCAGCTGTGCAACCTGATGGGGAGGCTGCTTTGTGCAGAAGTGAGATTTGCCACCGGACAGGGTACCCTGCTCTATCCCTAGCGCCTGAAGGAACCGTGTAGGATCTGGTAGTTATTTCTTACCATTCAAGTTTGCACCTTACTTTTAACATTACAACCAGAAATGAGTTATTTCTTCACCTGTACAAGGCAGCACCTCTGCAGTCCTGCTGAGTTTTGGATTTCCCACCCCACCACATGCACACAATACTTTTTACCCCACTCCAAATCATAGAATGGGTTGTAAGGGACCTTCAAAGAACATCTAATCCAACCCCCTGCGATGAGTAGGGATATCTTGAACTAGATCAGGCTGCCCAGAACCACATCCAGCCCGGCCTTGACTGTCTCCAGGGATGGTGCATCCACCACCTCTCTGGGCAACCTGTGCCAGTGTTTTACCACCCTCATTGTAACAAATTTCTTCCAAATGTCCAGCCTGAATTTCCCTTTGTTTAATTTAAAGCCCTAACCCCTCATCCTGTTGCAACAGGCCCTGCTAAAATGTCTCTCCCATGTAAGTCTTTCTTATAGGCCACTTTTAAGTACTGAAAGGCCACAGTTGGGTATCCCTGGAGCCTTCTCCAGCTTGAACAAGCCCAGCTCTCTCAGCCTGTCTCCGTAGGAGAGGTGCTCCATCCCTCTAGTCATCTTTGTGGCCCATGAACACAATCCACATGTTTGAACGTAAGGCATCCGGGCCCAGGTTGAGGGAAAGCCAGGCGTTACCCCAGTCACATGCAGCAAGCTGATCTTCTGCTGCACTTTCTGTTCAAGACCTGATTATTTGTGCAGGCTGGATTCTGAAACATTTGGCTTGGAGCTGAACAAGCAGAACTGACAAACGGGACGGTTGCCTGGTGTGCTACAGCACAGGCAGAGAAGGAAGGAGCTCTGGTGTCATTCAAGTGCTTGACTGTTCTTTTTCAGCAGGTATTTTTTCAGTTCACAGCAGGCCATTGACACCAGAAAGTGCAGCAACAGCAACAATTTCAGTGGTGAAACTGCCGATGTTACAATCAGAGGGAGATAAAGTGAAGTATTTGTTGGAGTGGCAGTACCAGGAAATGGCTGAGACATCACATGGTGGAGGATGTGCACTCTGCAGCACAGGGACATATTTACTTACAGGCTAGACTTCCACCAGGCTCAACCAAAGGCAGTTTTGGCTAGTTATTTGAGTTACCTGACCCACTTGCAGTAGGAAGTCATTATATAGATAGTAAATACCTACCCCACCCTTGGTAGGCAGACAGACTCTCTGCCAAAATAGTCTAACTCAGCTTAACAGAATATAAAATACTGTGACTTTCTAGTTAAAGTGTCACTGCAAAGACATTAGAAACTGCTGCTGTTCCAGTAAACTGCTCCACTTCTTGGCATTCAATCACTGTGAAGAAAGCCTCTAGGATTTACATCTTACCACCACCTGGAACACAAATCACACGCAAAGTCTGCGCATATATAGGCTGATATTTTTCTTAAGGTGCAAATCACTTGCTTCTCCCACTGATGAGCAAAGCTCCCTCTGGCATCAGGGAGGTTGCCTGTGACAGAGGATTCTGATAAGAGCTTTTACACAACCATTCATCTGAAGTGTTAAACAGAGACTCCAAGAATTTGTTCTTAGACTTCTTTGTATTATTCCCCTGTAATGAAAGCTGCAGCTGACTTAGCACACAGAACATGCTTGGTGATGAATACATTGATGGATGGGTTTAAAATTTCAAGCGAGATGCTTGAAACATCATCTACAAGTTATCATTAAAAATAAAATCATGGTACTGTTATAATAATTCAGAACTGTAAATTCTTTTCCTCATTAATAGATGAGATTTCCCCAAAATCTGTGGCCTGCACCAATGTTGACTCTGCAAATCATCACCAAAATAAGATTCTGGTCTTGCTTACACCAGAATATAGTTGGAGAAGGTCCATGTAAAGAGAGCAGATCTGTACTAATGCACCTAAAAGCAGGTCTGGTCCAAAATACGTGTTAAAGTAAGAGGACTTACTTCAAGTTAGAATGATGATGACCTTGCTTGGATTGTAGGAACAGGTGGTGATAGAAAAGGAAGAAAAGAACTGTCATGTCTTCTACTGCACATATATCAGTGTAATTTTACTTATATTTTGTGTGTCTTACATGAAACTTCAGATACTGATGCTGAAGATCCTGGGATGGGTTGAAGCAGTTCATTTAGCAGAAACTGAAGTGAAAATTCTGTTTCCTTCAAAGGTCACTTCTTAGAGTTCAGGGGGTAATTTTTCATTTGATAAAACCAGGGAATGAGCTTGTTTGCGCTCTGCAAACCTAGGAGCTATTCACTGAAATAGAGCAGGTCTGGATAGAGCGTAGAGGGATAGGACAAGGTAGAGTGGCTTTAAACTGACTGATGGTGGATGTAGGTTAGCTCTTAAGCAGAAGCTCTTCCCTGTGAGGGTACTGAGGTGCTGGCACAGGGTGCCCAGGGAAGCTGTGGCTGCCCCACAGGTTGGACACAGGGGCTTGAAGCAAGCTGCTCTAGTGGAAGGTGTCCCTGCCCGTAGCAGGGGTTGGAACTGGGTGAGCTTTAAGGTCCCTTCCAACCCAAACCAGTCTGGGATTCTATGATTACAAGACTTGTTCTATTTCTATGCATGGGGCTTGTGTATTGCTGCTGCCTTTTCTGCACACCATGTGCTTCCTGCCTAGGTTGGCCAGGCTTAGGAGAGACCATGGATAAGTTAAAAAGGATTTCTGCTGCTATTCTGCGGATCATTAATCACATATCTATGGTGTTAAGGACAATGTGTCACATGGGGCTCAACGGGGGATTTTAATGCACTACAGCAAAGATCCATAAAGGACACAGGCACCCAGCTCTGAGGCTGAGATTCAGGAGCCTTAATTAGGATGCTGCTTTGCCTGCACAGTGAGCTGGGAGAAGCCAGTGTCTAGTAATGGAATTCACATGTACCAGTACTCTGAGCAGGGGGCTGAGTTAGTGAGATGGAAAATGCTGAAGAAATGGATACACTTCTGCACTTGAGTTAGTGCCTAAACCCTGTTCTTGTATCGGACCCTGAGCGCTGAAGTTTTAGCAACATGGACCAGTCAGCCTGTGTTTACAATTGCCCTGACTTTCCTTAGGGAAATAAATCATTTGTTCTCATTTGAGCCTGCTATTAAAGTAGAAAGCTGCACACCAAAGCACACTGGAGCCCAGTGCTATCCTGGAGCCACACTTCCCTTGTTGTTATCCTATTTAGGAACACCCTTCATCAAGTAATCACTGTTTGGCACAGTACTAAATTAAATCACTGAACTCCAAAACGTTGTTATGTGTCTACCTACTCCATGGTTCCATTGGGATGGAAATTCTCTATCTCCTTTAAAGACTATTAGAGCCCTGCCATTCTTGCTCACAACAAAAGGGGATTGTTGACTTTGTTTGTCATTATTTTCCTGTTCAACAAAAGATGCTTATTCTTTCTCCCCAGTGCTGAGATCCCTGGGAGCCTGTAGACCTCCTCTCTGCTTGCTTTTCTTTCCCCTGGTTGACTACAAAATAGAAAGTCTCCTTCACCCTGGAGCTTGTGTTGAAATGCACAAAAGCAAATATTATCTATCTAAACTTTCAAGGTTTTCCTGATGAAGGTAGTAATTAAAAAGTCGATGTGAGGCATAATTGACTCAGGAAACAATGTTACAAGGCACAGCAGAAGTGGCAATGAGATTAACACACATTTATGATTAAGAATTAGTTGTTCATGAAATAAAAAGTCGTTTCAGTCAAAACCTTTTGACCTTTAAGAGATGCAGCAAACCCACGATCGTGTAGTTGTTTTGTTGGAGCCTATTATTGCTATCCCACTGGAACCTTGAGAGAATAGCTTTTCTGATCCTACAACTAGGCAGCCTGTGGGCAGGAGAGCAGGGTTCTTGCTTTTTGAGAGCTAGCAGCCCATTCAAGGTGGGTTGACTTTCTAAAAGACCCATTTATTGAATGACGCAAGGTACAAATTATGACTCACTGCATAGGTTAAGTTGGTAAAAGTCAACCCGTATTCATCTTCCTAGCACCTACACAGCTGCATAAAGTATTTCATAATGGATTTAAGCTGAAAGATGGGAGATTTAGATGAGACATTAGGAAGAATCTCTTCCCTGTGGGGGTGCTGAGGCGCTGGCACAGGGTGCCCAGAGAAGCTGTGGCTGCCCCATCCCTGGCAGTGTTCAAGGCCAGGTTGGACACAGGGGCTTGGAGCAAGCTGCTCTAGTGGAAGGTGCCCCTGCCCGTGGCAGGGGTTGGAACTGGAGGAGCTTTAAGGTCCCTTCCAGCCCAAACCAGTCTAGGATTCTATAATTTATTAGCTCTAGAGTCCCATTAACCCTTTTAGAGGCTTAAAAATGGTTTGCAATAGAACCCAGACAAACTGATGTACTTATCTGGTGAACTGAAGTTTTTCTCTTTTATCAGTGGTGATCTAGGGAACAGCAGATTTGCTTCTCTCTGGCCAGGATTAGGTCACAGAGTGGCCCAGCAGACTGGCTTTGAACATTTCTTCCTGTTTAACAGCCCTCAAAACATGCTTTGATTGCTAGTGTTTGCTGATATGTGACACTGTGTTTTCCAGGTCTCAACCAGATGAGCCAGGTACTCTTCAATCTCGGAAGCCTCTCATCATCTCACAATGATACTGTAAGTGATTGCTGTTTATTATAAGCAGCTTTTTAAGCACAAGCTTGGTGCCAGTCCAGTGCATTTTATTAGTTGAAACATTTCCTTTTATTTCCCACTTGTATTGCAACCTACTTTTTATGGTAGATTTAAAGCGATGGAAGCAGTTTTGCTGTGTTTGCAAGGCCTTTAAAAGGACTGACCCACCTCTTCACCTTCTCCACCCATCTCCTTCCCCATCTTCTCTCCTTTCAAAGGGAGAACATCAGCAAGTTTAGAGATTCAGATGTGGTTCCTAAACCTGTGTCAATGCGGAAGATCTACTATACTGCTGGAAATGGTGTGCAGCCACTTGTTCCTGTATTTGAGCTCTCCTTCCTCTCAGGAAACACAGATTTCAAGGGAAGGAAAACCACAAGTGACCCTTGTGCATGTCAGTGCAAAAAGTGGTGGTTGCTTAAAAAGAAAGGTGTTAACCTTACGTGCATGGCTTCATTTCTCCACCTATTCCTCTACTGTGCATGTTACAAATGGCAGCTATGACAGGCTGCATGAGATGCCCATTGAGAGGGCATGAAGCATCTCTTTCTTTGACCCCCTGTCTGTAGTCCTAACTCAGCAGGATTTTCCTTGTCTGGTAATATGGCTGGACTAGAGGAGGGACTGTGCCTTCTCTTATTGCTGTGGGTGAATAAATACTGGCAATAGCCTTTCTCCAGTGTTGAATCAAACACTGAAATTCATTTACTTCTTCTCTGGTCATAAATACTATGTGTCAGCTTTCTGCAATCCACACTGTACTAACCTACTTGCAGAGATTCCTACATAAAGGAAGTGGCAAAATTGCATGGAAGATTATTGACAACAAACTAGTTTGAAACATGAACATTGGCCAGACACTTGTCTGTGCCTTTACTCAAGGAACACGTATTACCTTGTGACTTTCATGGTCAATCACATCTAAACCTAAAATGTGAGTTTCAGAGCACACGTAAAGACCAGATTGGAATTGAGTATAAAGATATATATACTGTTGGGTTTAAGCCCATAATAAAACTTGCTCAATGCTGATGAATAATAGATGCATTTAAAGGAAATTACGATCTGCTCCTGTTTAATCCTTGAAAGGAAAAAAAAAAGCAAATTTGCTTATAAATTCTCTGTAATGGTTTATTCTTTAAGACAGAACAATGGAGGCTTGGTATGAAATCAATAAAAAGGCCTCATTTTATGCCCCAAGTTTGTAACCTACACAGAAGTCTGTTATGGCAGCTGCCGCCTTCACTAAACACACCAGGGTTCAGACCAGGTTCCTCCAGGGCTACAGTGGTAATGGCTCTTAAGTCTGGCTGAAACAGGCTGGAATTCCCTATGGATCAGGCACAGAGGTGGACCTGTACCATGCACTCACCTGTGCGTTACGTCAGTAAGTCTAATATGTGCCATTCCGGTTGTAGCTCTTGTAAATTAAACAGAGAAATAAGCTGCTTTTTTCAGTTCATGCCACCGCTGAAATACGATCCAAGGCTCAGGTAGATTGCAGCTGTGATCTTGCTCCTTGGTTATGAACATACATTTATGTTCTCAAGACATGAGAGCTCCTTCTACACAGGCAAAAACTGTAAAACCGAAATGAACAGCGTTCTCTGTGTACAGTAGAGTTATTTCAAGTGCCTGAGGGTTTGAACATAAGCAGACACTGTGTTCGCGTACAATCTAAGCAAGACTTCTGGGGTTTGGCATTTCAAATGACAATTAGAAATACAGCAGGCATGTTTCAGCAACTTTATGGGATCCCATAAACATCCAGCAAAGGATTCCAGACAAAAGCAGAGATTCACAGGAAGGATTGTTTGCTTCTTTTTGTGTCCTACTTCGGTTTTCAGTGGGATGTGTTGTCTCACATCACAAAACTAATGAAACGAAAGTAAAGGGCAGAAGGTTTCTCACTCCTTGGATGCTGTTGTATGAGAGAAAATGCTTCTTTGGGAGTGTACAGTCTGTATGGCTCTGTCCAGGTGACAGCTTTAGCTTGAGGAGAAACAAGTCTGGAAGGTGAAAAGCACTTTCCTTCCTCAACACAGAACAGACACAGTAGACTCCAGGCCTCCCCCTGGCACGATTTTGTGTGCCATGACAATACCTGAATTTTGCTGGATATATTTATGTAGTGATAGGACAAGGGGTAATGGCTTCGAAGTTAAATGAGGGAGACTTAGGTTAGACCTTAGGCAGAAGTTCTTCCCTGTGAGGGTGCTGAGGCGCTGGCACAGGGTGCCCAGAGAAGCTGTGGCTGCCCCATTCCTGGCAGTGTTCAAGGCCAGGTTGGACACAGGGGCTTGGAGCAAGCTGCTCTAGTGGAAGGTGTCCCTGCCCGTGGCAGGGGTTGGAACTGGATGAGCTTTAAGGTCCCTTCCAACCCAAACCAGTCTGGGATTCTATGATTTACCACAGGAATGACAGTATTGCATAGTCACTCAGCTATTCCCACTGTACCCTCCTGACAGCATGCCATGGGTTATGAAATTGTATATTATATCATGTACCTTTAAGCAACATCATGTTTACAAATATACAAGGCACCTCTTGTGACTGTGTTTAGACATTAACCTAAGATGAGAAGAAGAACCTGAATCTCAGGTTAAGGATTTAATTACAAGACCTTTCTTCCTCAATGCTTTTTTTTCCTGCCACTTGTAAACCTTTGGCAAAAAGAGATCCTCAGCTGTGGTGGGTTTTTTGTGCCTGAATTTCTCCTTAATCAATTCCTAAATCTCCAAATTTGAAATTGCTGTGATATTGAGTGGATTTTCCTCTAGGATGGTCAGCTCTTTCCTAGCCTTGAGATGGGAGACAAACTGCAGTTTGGTTTTAGGTAGTTCTGAAAGCCCTCTCTTTATGACACTTTAGCAATGTGTTTTGTTCTGTGCATGTGCTCAAACCACGTAGGCATCAACTGAACCACCTAATGATGCTCGGCCAGAACTCCTCCCCTGCTCTCCTGGGTTTCTTTTGGTCCCCTCCTCCCCATAGGAGTCACAGATGGCTCCTCTTTGTTTCCCCACATCTCACCTTTGCATTCTGAAAAATGCCAAGTATGGTATAAATTTGGGGGTATTTGTAGGGAATTTACCTTCTTCTCCATGCAGAGGCCAAGGAACTGTTAGTCTCTCCTTTCTTGTCCCTGGAAACCAGCACCGGGATTATTTCTCAGGAGTCAGGGCTAAGTGAGAATTAGGTTCCTGCCTGGGTTAAGCAGCACTCCACATTAGTGATCCCATGTCCCAGTCTGGGCAGGAAGAAGTAAGGAAACTGTTTACTTTATCCTCCTTAGCGCACAAACCAAGCCACAGGAACTGGGAACAGGCCATCTGCCAGAAAAGAGGGAGATAGGAGGTATCTTAGGGTTACATTTGTTTCCTGTGGCTGTTGCTTTGCTTTAGTCCTTTCCCCTCCTCCGTAACACAATTCAGGACTACATAGGAGCCCTTTCCCCCTTTACCTGTATTTATCTCTTTTAATTACATGATACTTTTGCAATCTGAGGGAGGCAGAGGCGATCCCATCCTGCCTTTCTACCTTGCTCATTATAGCTTCACGTTCCTGACCCTGCCGCAGTTGCGATGCCATGCAAAACTGAAAGGTCCTTTTTGTTTTGTTTGCCTTTTGCTTGGCATTCCTTCCCTTTCCCCTGCATTCCTCTTGCTCAGTGTATTCCCAGCAGCGATTTTTTCCCATGTGAAGGAGCATCAGGCGCGTCCCCCAGGCCTTCCACTGAAACCTTTACTGTGACATGGCCTTGGGCTGGATCTCACCCCTTACGCAGGTGCTTAACACAGAATGAAGGTCAAGTCCATTTAAGAGCTATTTCAGGGGCTTAAGTGGGCATGAGATAGGGTGCAATTTTACCACTCATCCTCTGTGCAGGATAAATTTGATGTTAATTGTAATGAAACTGCTGTGGTGGAGAGTCTTTCTAGCTCTGAGTAATGTTGTGTGCTTATTCCTTTGCAATAGCAGCTGTGTGACTTCTTCATTTATACAATCAACCTGAAACTGCCTTGATTAAATAAAGTTTGTAATTGCTGCTCTCACAAAAATCCTAAAGGGAAAAGCAGTTGCAGTATGTCTCCAGAATGCTGTCTCCAACTATACACTTTGCTGAACATTGCAGATAGCTTCTGCTGCGATGGAGATGTGGAGCTCATCTGAACGTGGGATGGATTTGAATAATCTCTTTCAATTGTCCAGCACCACAGATTTGTTCCTTGCCTTTCTTTTGCTTTGCCCAGGCTAGTAGTCCCCACCACCAGGACTTCAGCTGTTTGGACAAGTGTATCACAAGCCACTGCACCTCAGCCTCAGGAAATATATCCTGCTGTTCAAAACAATTCCTCACACTCCTTGACATTTACTCCTATGGGTATTTGTAGACTGTTATGTCTGCCATTACTTGTTGTTTAACCTAGCAATAAGCATTTAGCTCTGTCCTCATAAATCATTTCCCCTCAGACTGCCTGTGCTCTGAAGTATGAAAAGCCCAGGCTAAGCCTACCCTTTCAATGACTATTCCCCACAGGATTTCATTGGTGGCACAGAATCATTGCTCAAGCCATGATTTCATTCCTGTCTTATTGCATGATCCTTTGCTGATTATACTGACCTAAGGATCTATACCAGAAGTTCTCTGCTTTTCTTTCCCCTGTCTACCCACATAGCCTTCAAGACTTGTTCGACCTCTTCCCCCAACTTTAACACCAGTGATTCAGGCTGCTTGTCCCTTCTCCCTAAGAGTACGTCATTTGGGAGTAGCAGAAGCTGCAAGGTGTATTCCCAATTCCTTCATATTCCTCACTCTTTGCTGAAGGACTTCTCCACAGCCACAAGCTGGTTGCCAGGGACAGCAGAAGGTGGACTTCCATAGCGTGTCTCCTTGGGTTGGTGGCTGATGGGTGCAGCTGCCTGGAGCAGGGTAAGGAAGAGCAACTGGCTGGATTCAGACCTCCTCTTCCCAGTTCTGC